CCGTCTGTTGGATGATCAGGCAATACACATATTCCACATACTCGGTTTTGTCCTGTCTTTCCTACAACAAGAGAGTTTACGACTTCAGTTAACTTATCTATTTTACTTTCCAATAAAGATGAACTTATCTCATGAACCCTTCGAGAAGGTTCATTATTTGCGCGAAACTGTTGGGAATTTGCATCCATCGTCGATATTAAGTCTCTAGCCTCGGTAGGAGTCATATTCACCAAGGCTCCACCGCTAGCGGCATCGATCATCTTCATTTCCAGGGGAGATAATCCTTCATAGAAGTATTGAATGAGTGTTTGTTCGGTTAGCCCATGTTGTGGGCAACTAGAACACAACTTCTTAAACCGCTCCCAGTAGTCGTAGAGCGACTCTCCATCAAGTTGCTTGATTCCAAGTATTCTCCTTCGTAGTTCACTTACTTTTGCCGCAGGGAAAAACGTGTCAAGAAAAAGACGAGTCATATTAGCCCATGTAGTAACATAATTAGGAGGAAGATAAAATAACCACTCCTTAGGACTCGGCTAAGGAAAAAGGGAAAGCTCTAAGTTTTATTTGGTCCTCGGTTACTCCCTGTGGTGTCATGCTAGAGCAGACCATGTGAAATTCTTTGAGATGTTTGTGTGGATCATCGTTTGGCAATCCGCGGAATGTAGGGAGGAGATGAATAAGGCCAGTTTTCAACTGGTATGGAGTTTCGCCTTGGGGAAAATTAATGCACATAGGTCCTTGTTCAGTGGGTGCCGCAGCTAACTCCCGAATAGTAGGTTCGGCCATCGAATTTGTATTACCTGAATTTGATCTTTCTTCTGGATCTAATTGTTGTCTCCTTCTTTCCCGAAGTGTCTGTGCGTGGAGTCTCCTAGCTTCAGCTTTGATCTCTGGGTTGTACTCCACTAATGTGCCCGGATTAGTCCTGGTCATAAATCAAAAACAAACAAAAATTAGTAACTTTGGCGAAGTCCCCGGCAACGGCGCCAATTTGACAACTGTCGTTTCGGATGTCAAAATAATTCCTTATTCTCAATCAATAAATTAAGGAAATGCGTAGCAAGAAGAAGTAAGGGTCGATTCCACAAGGACTTAGAAAATTATAAATTTCTGTCTGAATTATTTATGCCAGGCGTGAACCAGTAAAAATGGGGGGATTTTAGTAAAAGATAATAAAGTGATTAAATAAAAGTAATTAAAGTAAAAATAAGAAGATGAAGATTGTGAATAAATACGGTAAAAGTAGCCTCAAGCTTCGCTTTGATTCAATTTCCTTTAGATCATCGAATAAGATTTTCTTTTCGGGATTCACGTCGGTTACTTTGTCTACAAGGGCTATCCTTGTGACTCTATCTTGTATACCGAATACCCAAGACAATCTTTGATTCCGGCTTCGGTAGTTGATTCTAACAACATCTATTGTCGTAGATCAAATACCGTTTAAGTTCGTGGCGACCGACTCGGATTGTTGTTTCTATAACCGTCAATTCCGATCTCAATTCCCTCTTGGCGAAGCTATCTCGCCAAGTGTGTTCCCAGGAAGTCGAATTGCTTTCTATAAGCCGAATCTTCCTCCCACACGTTTAATCCCAACAACTTCTTGACCAAAGTCAATCTTCGATTTTTGAAAACTGTTTTGATTTTGAAAAAAATAAGCGCAGAGATTGAGAGAGAGATTCCGAAGATATTAAGGGACCATTTCAATTCTCCCGTTGGAATTGAATCATCGCGACAGCTCTCGGCTTATGAAAAGTTTAGCTAAGCATGACAAAAGTCATACTTAGCATAAAAATAAAACTTGAAAATAAAGAAAAATAAAAAGAACTGGAAAAGGAAAAGAGAAAGAGAAAAGAGAAAGAGAAAACTTTTATAAAAACTAGAGAGAAAAGAAGAATGTATTCTGAATGATTAGTTTAGGCTTACCCCAAGTGGGTATTTATAGCCTCTCAAAGCCTAAAGGATAAACAAAGAAAATAATAAAATAATACAAAAGATAATTGTTTTTAAATTTAAATTCAAACTTAAACTAGTCTCCTAATGCAACTCTGCTCGTCAATCTTCTAGAAGGCGTGCAGACGAAGTCTCCTAGAAACCGCCGCTGACTGGACCTTCTAGAAACTGCCATGTCAGACCGCGTCGTGCCCAGAGTCGTGCCCATGTCTCCAACCGTGACCAAATAATAAAAAAAATGCAGAATTCGCCCGTTTTATCACCAATTCTGGAAAGTAAGGACCTGCACGAAAATAGACATAACACAACCAAATCAGCAGCAATAACTTCACAAAATCGAAGAAATAACGAACATATTAACGATTCTGAACACTCATCAGTATATATTTAGCGTGTGATTATTTTCACTCGTAAGTAAACGTCAGGAGTAGAAATAAGGAGTACTGAGCAACATCAAACATCGAGGAGTATAATACAATATCAATAAGACATCCTTTGATGTAATTTTGACTTATTTAGTGGCATGTACTTATAAATGTTGTAGTTGCTTTATCAACTATTTTGGAAATTGTTGTAATGGCTAAATTAAATTATTTTACTCTATTTCATCATGGATGATATTATTTAATATTACTTTTATAAATGGATGTATTTGATATTTAAATATTATAAAAAATTGTGATTTATTATTTTATATTTTCTATTATAATTGGGAGAAAAATAATTCAAGCCACTTTTGAATTGGGAAATGTTTTAAGTAAATCATGTGACATCTATAACTTATATTGGTATAAGTATAAGGGTCGTAAGTGTTATAGTGGCGCCTCAGAAACTAAGATTCACATACTTCGTGATTGTTTTCAATCCTGGAATATTTGGAATCAATTGGTTTCGGACCACATCAAAACTCAATTTTTCTCTTCTGATGTATTTGATTGGTTGCAGTGTAATCTTGTCACTTTTGCAGGAATAAGAACCGAAGATCGGCACTGGAGGCACTTGTTTGGCATCATCATATGGAAGCTTTGGAAAAACATAAATGACTTTGTGTTCAATCGGAAAGTCTGGGCAGCAATGGAAACGATTCAAGCAGCAAAAACTTGGGCGGGCATCCTTATGCAAGCGGGTCAAAACAATAAGATGATTAACACATGCAGAAGACGAGTTCATTGGCAGCCCCTTCAGCATGGTTTCTTCAAACTCAACACGGATGGAAGCGTTCGTCCAGGTACAATGAGGGCGTCGAGTGGCGGGATCATCCGGAATGAAAGCGGAAACTGGATCACCGGCTACACTAGAAACATCGGCTGCACAACTATCATGCAAGCTGAACTTTGGCCGATCCTGGATGATCTCTAAGTTGCATGGGATCGGGGCATCCGAAAGCTGGAAATTGAAACAGATAACAAGACGGTCTTCCGGATTCTTCATTCCAATGTTGGTTCTAATGAACAGGCTATTGTTAGGAGAATAAAGCACTACATGGATCAACAATGGCAGCTGGTGTTCAAGCACGTCCCTCGATAAGCCAACAGTGTTGCTGACAGCATGGCAAAATTTGGTGGTGAGTCCACTCCGGGTTTAAATGTTCTCCTGCAGCCTCCCATTGAAGTGCAAAACCTGCTTAACGAGGATTACACTGGTCTGAGTCGTAGTATTTCCCACTATTAGCTTAATGGTTTCTTTTTATTACCAAAAAAAAAAATGGCCCCATGCACCTTTCACACGTATTTTGAAATAGGGTAAAATAGACAAATGGTCCTCCAACCATAATACGCTGTTTTGTTGAGTCAAACGACTATTAAAATTATAAAATAGTCCCTTAATTATAAGTCGTTGCTACGTTGAGTCTCTTAACTATTAAAATTTACAAAATGGTCGTCCAATTGTTCATATGTTCCAAACTCATTTTTTCCGTTAAAAATTGATGATCGTCTAACCTGAACGTTAATCTACCAATTCGAATTGATAAAATCTTATCCTAGAACTGTTTGAGTTATATAGTTGTTTAAGATTTTGGGATCAAATTTTATTATATCACATTCAACATGTTAATGCACAGCTTAGAATGTTGTTAATTTTTTAATAGAAAAAGATGAGTTTGAAACATATGAATAGTCGAGTGATCATTTTATAATTTCTAATAGTTGAGAGACTCAACAAAGTATTGTCATATATAGTCGAGAGACCATTTTGTAACTTTTAATAGTCGATAGATTATATGAAGTAATATCTATAGTTAAGGGTCCATTTGTGTTCTTTACCCTTTAAAATATTAATAAAAAAAGGAAAAAAATTATATAAAGTTGAGCACTACGCCACGGCTTTACAAATATGTTGAAAATGATGTCGTTTTATATAATATTTCCTAGAAGGGTTACACATCTCCATTTTTCAAATATTTTTTTATATGCATTTCAGTTTGACAAACTTGAGTAATCTAACCCTCATATTGTATGCTTTATTTACTGCATGAATTAACCAACTGTTTTATATAAAAATTTAAACCGTTATATAAAGAAATATAAAATTATGAAGTAATTATGGATGAAGATTGTTTATTTTTTAAAAGACTTCAGTTTAAATTGTTTTAGTTTAGACCTTTCAAGTTTAAATGTGTTTTTATTTGAGTTCAGGTTTGAATATTAATTGGCCAGGCAGTGCAATGAAGTGCGTGATTAGAAGCAACGCCAAAATGCAACTTGGCCATCACCTAATATACGAAATTTAAATCAAAATGGACCTGGCTCATTTAAGAAATGTTATTTGTAATAAAAATAATGCAACATAACATTTTTAATACATGTATATCATTTAAAATTTTGTCACATTATCAATGGGATTGGTTCAAGTAATAAACAGTTTGATATCGTCTAAATAAGATCTTAGGTTTGAGTTTTTGCGAATGCAGAAAATCTTCGTTGGGAGACTCATCCATCAGAACCAAGTGTACGACCCGGATCGATCCACATTAGTCAAGTCGAAATCTTGGAACTGTTCCCGGATGCTTTTAAACTTTTACACCAATCAACCAAGAACAAACAAAATAATAGATTGCAAGCATGCACGCCCACAAGACGGTTGGTGATTTAAAAAGAAAATTTACTTGAATTTGAAACTGAACATACCGATCTGACATATGGTTGCTGGAACACCCAACCAAGAAGGGGTATCCTCTGCAGAAACACTGCCAGTGTCGGCCAAAAACCACTGAAAAAAAGGAGGGTGTTAAACAATAAGCTAAAAAGTTAGCATCTGTGTTTAATCAAGATAATAAAAATTTCATAAAAACCTGAAGAGTACAACAAATCCATAAGTTTCTAATATCATGCCAATGATAGGCCACCCAATGACGACAAAAAAGAAGCCGACACCAAAAGAAATTGTTCCCTGCATTCAGTATCAATACATCATAAAGAAAATTAAAGAAACATTTATGTGTGAGAGCGTTTTTGTGAGAGAATAAATAAAACCTTAAAATTTTGAGGTTTCATGAAAAACTGCATGGTGGACTTCAGACCAATGGTTAAGGACACTCCTGATATGAAAAGGATCTGATTAACAAAAAAATAAACATAGAAGTATTAATCCAGTGTGATTCAGTGTGGAAAACAAAATAGTTGTGCAAAAAGATAATAAAAGTTAGCTTACATTTCCCATGGCAAGCAAGCCCTTGTCGAAAAAGAAAATAATTCCCAGAAATGAGAAAAATATGCCAAATCCCGTTAATCCCAGCCCAATTTCTGTTTTCCATAATTTCAAATTTTAGTAAATACAAAAGATAGCAAAATAAAAGTGGACAAAAAATAGCCTTTTTTCCTCAAAATATTAATGACAAACTAAGTCGTATGTCTCCACTAGCCAAGTTCATGTTAATCAAATGTTAGAGGGTACCAAAGTGTCAGGGACATCTCATTTCCATGAGATAACCCTGACAATAACCCAATGGTGGACCGAGTAAATGCAATCGTGATCAAAGGAAAAGATTGAAGAATGAAGATGGAGGGCTTGTCAAGGTAATGGCCTCAGTTCAGACATTCCAACGCGTACTGGTGTCATAGCTGATAAGTTTTTTTAGCTCTTTAGGGGGAAGTGATCTGGTGTTGGGTCTCCACCATCCCCTCACCTTGAGCTAGCATGTGGAGCTACCATGGTGTAAGCGACCTTCTCCTAGGTTCATGAGGAACCTAGGTGTGCAGCATCGGGACCAAGTGGATGGTACGATGTCTCTCTAGGATGATATCTGGGGACGGTTTGGGGCCAATGGACCCCATATCGCGCTCTTGGTTGAGGAGTGGGGTTGTCACCCAGCATTCGCTATGCCCCGCAAGATCTCCCTTCCAAGAGTACTTGTGGCTTTGGGATTATATTATGGCGTGGGACGAATGTGTGGCTTCTCTGTTCGAACAGGATACTGTGGGATCGACTAATGAACTGAGGGATGATTCTTAGCCGATGTGACTTGGCTTCATGACGAGTTAATTCGAGGCATGGATCTATGCTGGAAAAGGTTGACTTGTCTGGGAGTTGTCCCATTCAAGTGCCGCACGGCATAACAACAGGGCCGAGACGTTATGTCCGTGAATCAAATGTTAGAGGGTACCAAAGCAGCCCGCTTACCTCCAAACGTCTTCAGTCACAATAATCCACATAACAGAACAAATAATTTGTTCAGATAATTTCAGTTTGAAACCAAAAATAAAGATTAGATTCTAGCAAAAATAAGAGTTAACAAAATAGTCTATATCACATATAGTTAGGGTGGTGGTAAAAGTCTTATCACCAAATAATCTATTAAATTATTTACATATGGTAAGACATTTTGCAATACTCCTATGAAAATTCTACAACTCCAAACCATTTCAACTAGCATTTCTACACAAAACCTACATGTAAGAGAGTTTGTCATTTCGTGCATATTAAACAATACCATCATGAGTAACTCCAAGTCCGAGCATGCATGGTGCACATTCTTTGTCAAGAATAAATGAATACATAAATGAAGTTAATAATTGGAACAGCCTGTTGAATTCCCTATCTATTTGAACTTTGAAGAACGAGAAGGCCGGTACAAATCAATTAAAAATCCTTCATAATATAACCACATCAAATGTGATCAACAGAGATCCACTTGTAAAATTTTCTTGGAGTTTGGTTAGAATCAATTTATTAGAATTACCGGCTGATATTTGTTTCTTCTTAATAAAGCAGCATAACTTAGCAAACAATTCCTAATAACTTATTGAAATATTTTTTCGGATAATAGATTAATAAACAATAATAAAAGTTCTCCATAAAAGATGATCATGCTGCAGATAGTGGAAAGTCAATTGATAAGTAAGATTAAAAACATTTGTAATAGGCATTGGGATGGTAGAATTGATCATGGCCAAACTTGAGCTCAATAACATGCCAGGTTTTTTTTAATTAAGTCAATATGCCTTGGGCATTGAGAACATATATTAGTTCATCAAAGCATTCCAAAATTATCACAATGTAAAATAATTATAATAATAAAGTTTAGGATTTGGTCATTAACGTAAGTTAATATTAGCCTTTTTTACTATCAAATAATAATAGAGTTTTCCTTGTAAGGAAATATATTCGACTGAGTTTGTCAAACATATTTAAACGGCTGAAATAAATTAGTTCATCAAAGCATTCTAAAATTATCTCAATGTAAAATAACAAGAAAACTTGAAAGACTTCCCTAACTCAGAATTCTAAGTTCTAAAATTTTATTAACATGCGTAATAATGAATAAAAGTTGCAAGAGTAAAAAAGAAACCGATTTCATAGATTTGTATTTCACTAAAATTGCTATGGATTTCACATCGAGTCATATTTCAAGTATCAAACCAACAGAAGTTTCACAAAAATCACAGATTCAAAGATGCGTTCATTGAATTGAAAGAAGCAAAGAAAGCACGAAATAAAATTCGAACATAATAGCTCACTTTTTCGATCGTTCATTTCAAAGGAAACCATTTTGCCTATTCTTCAGATACCGGTAACCTTCAAAGAACAAAACAAATAAAAAACGGAATCATGAGAGAATCTGAGAACAGAAAACATAAATTAATAATTAAATACAGATCTAAAAGAGTAGACAGTCCTCATAAAAAGAAGAAAACAAACAAATCTCAAATCCAAAATTCCGTCTGTTTACATAGGAAAAAGGAAAGTAGTTTCTCGGTAATCAAACAGAGAGCGAAGAGAAACACCTACGTGAGAGTGACTTTAGAAATGGGAATCGAGCGGGAGAGGGAGCCGCGAGGTAATGTAACTAAAAAGAAAATTTGAAAAACTTGAGATAAATAAATAAAGATAATTGTTAAGGGTAAAGTATATAATTGGTCACTAAACTTTTTAGATCATTGCATTTAGATCCCCAAACTTTTAAAACTTGTAATACAATCACCAAACATTTAGTTCGTTTGCAATATGATCCCGACGTAACGGTCGTTTCACTGTCATTAGGATAAATTATATAAATTATCACTTAACTTTTCAGGCGCTTGCATTTAGGTCTCTCAACTTTTAAAACTTGTAACAGAGTCATCAATTACATTTTAAACCCCAAATTTCAAAATTCTTTAATTACATTCTAAACCTCAAATTCCAAAAATACTTCAATTACATGCCCAACCCCAAATTCATAATCCATTCTCAAAATCTACCATAACAAACTGAACTTGAAGCAGCAATCTTAAACCCTCAAAACATAACACTAAATGCTAATTTTCCCCACCAATTAATTCAACATAATCAACAATATTTAGTTCATTTTGGGTCCATAACAATAAGTGATTATGTTGGGTTTAGGTTTTAAAAGTTAAATTTAACCAACTATAAGTGAACAATACTCAGTTTGATTCGAAAAAATTATTTTTTGACTTGAATTGATTCAAAATTTTTTGATATAAATTGACTTTGAGTTGTAATTTCATAAACTCAACTTAAAAAAATTCAAGTTAAAATCGAGTTATAAAATATAACTCGAATATCTCAAAAATTTTAGTAATTAGTGGATTAATTTTTAAGTTTGAGTCAAGTTCCTTGACTCCGTATGATATATGTATATCACATATGGAAAAATATGAAGAAATATATGTATTGTGTATGGTTAAAAAACTATTTAAATTAGAATCAAATAATATTATAGTATTATAAGTATTTATAATTAAATTTAAACATAAACTCGAAAATTCAATTCAATTTGACTTGAATTAAATTTTATAAACTCAAATAAAAAATATTTTGAGTCAACTATTTTATAAACTGAACTGAATTAAAATCAAATAATATTATAATATGATAAATATTTGTAATTAAATTTAAACAGAAACTCAAAAATTCAATTCAATTTGACTTGATTTAAATTTTATAAACTCAAATCGAAAAAATTTCGAGTCAACTATTTTATAAACTGAATTGAGTATTTAGGTCCAACATAACCCTAAACCCTAAACCCAACATAATCACTTATTATTCACTTATAGTTGGTTAATTTTTTTTGGAATGGTTATGTTTTGAGGGTTTAGGATTTTTGCTTCAAGTTCAGTTTGTTATGGCAGATTTTGAGAATGGATTATGAATTTGGGGTTGGGTATATAATTGAAGTATTTTGGAATTTGAGGTTTAGAATGTAATTGATGAATGTGTTACAAGTTTTAAAAGTTAGGGGACCCAAATGCAAGAGCCTGAAAAGTTCAGTGACCATTTATATAATTTACCCTAATGGCAGTGAAACGACCGTTACGTCGGGCACCGTATTGCAAACAAACTAAATGTTTGGTGATTGTATTGCAAGTTTTAAAAGTTGGACCTAAATTTAAGCATCTGAAAAGTTCAGTGACCATTTATATACTTTACCCAATTCTTAATTTGACATCTCTCTCTGTTTGCATTAGGTGCAAGGAAAATGACATAAAACTCCTCATCTTTGATTTATATTTTCAAAGTTCACTTACATAAACTTTTCAATCAAATTCAAAGATGATCACATTCTTCAGCTCTTCATCTCATCCGACATATAAGAAGTGAAAAATATATTATAATTTAACCCTTACACTTCCAGCTTTTGCCTTTTGTACTTGCAGAAGCTGAAACTTTACCATTGCTGCAGCTCAAGTACCCATTTTGGTAATAAAGTATTGTATCAATGGGGCAAAATGGCCCTAGTATTAACGTGGAACAGTTTGTTAAGAATATCCTTAATTAGGGATACTTGGGTCAAAAGAAAAATATATGCTTAATTAGGTATACTATAAGTAGCATAGTTTAGATCATGAACATCCGATACAAACAATTAATAAAAAAATTTGAAAATAAATAGTTATTTATGTGAAACATAATTTGACTGTGTAGCCTTTTCTGGTCATGAAATTTGAATGTACAACTTTTCCTTTTTCTTGAAATTTACATTTGCAAATAGTTTATTTTACAATAAACCTTATGTTGATTGGATGTTAGTCTTATTGAATCGAATCTTTTAGCGTTGTTCATATATATATATATATATTTAATACTAATAGGGCTAAGCTAATTCAATAAAAACATTGCCAACACTACCGCCTTTCTTTTTGTTGCCTACTCTTCCTTTCCAGGCAGTCCAGCCAAGCCAAATGACCGGCTTTCCATCACATTAAACAATTTGCAAACTGCAATTGAATAAATTAAAGGACTGGAGAAGATGGGCATTCAAAGAGACTCTTCCCTCAAGATCAAAATAATAAAAAATTTTGACCCTCCATACATGCATCAGTTAATGTCTGAAACTTACTTAACTGCTAGGCTAGATGTAGAAGATAATGATGAACTAACGAAGAACAAAGAGAGAAGGAAGAAATAAAAACTTTTAAAAAAATACTTAGCCCAACAATACAAAGGCTTTCAGTTTTATATAACAACACAAGCCACCTAACGGCCCACATAATTGAATAAAAACCAAGCACATTCAGTTACAGCAACTTCACAATACAAAGGTTTATATATGAATACTCACTCTTCTGTTTTCCTCATACCTTCAAACTGGGGTGGAGGAATAGAGTTAGTTAAAACATGTGCAACCTGTTCAGCTTGGGGAACAAAATTGACTATAAGCTGTTGCGCTAGGACCCTCTTTGTGACATGTTTGATTTTAGAATGGTGTGTTGGGTTGGCTGCCATGAACATATCGAATGTGTTGTCACACAAGGACCCATCTTATTCGGTATATATTCTGTAACACCTCAATTTAGGGGCTAAAATTTTAGAAATTATAAAGTATTGAATTTAATTTGGTATTTTGGAAGAAATTGAGGATTAAACTATAAAATCGTAAAGTTGGCAGTCAATTTTAAAAAGTGCAGAAAGTTCAGTGACTAAACTCATGGTTTACCTATTTTTTTAGATGAATTATAACCCCTCCTCCCGGTGTATTTCTACATAAAACTCTCATTTCTCCTCTCTCAAGTCAACGACTTTCAACTCTGATCTACTCACCGTCCGACGTTCGTTTGACAAACCGAAACCACCATCGTGTTCGTTGTCGACCGATGAACAAATCCCCTCAAACCTTTCATCGTGAATCGTCGTCATTCGTCGTTAATTTCAGTCGGAAATATCACCAGTTTTAACTCAATTTCAATTGGTTTTTCATCGATTCACGACGATCAGACCATCCGTTTTCAACACCTCCCGCACCATCGTGTTCCTTGTACCGTTCTGAGTCTGCCGGTGTCCTCCTTGTCTCTAAAGGCGGCGGTGCGCGAGGAGGTTAAGCGGTCAAAGTGTCGAATTTGTTGAAATCGAGCTCTCCACCATTCAAAATTGTGAACCGAGCATTGTAAGTGCCTCAAAATCACTTAAAATAATTTTTATGAATTTTTTCGAGAATTTTCCGACACTGTATAAGTGTTCACGCGCCACACGCGCGTAAAAACATGAGTGTTAATTTTGTAATTAATTTCTGTTTGGGTGCTATTTTTGTAAAAATATGAGTGTTAGTTTTGTAAATATTTGTAGAATGTGACTAATTTTGTAATTAATTTCGGTTAGGGTGATATTTGTATAAAACGGTCGACTGTTGACCGTTGACCGGCGTTGACCACTGTTGACTAGAAATTTGACCGGGTGTTAAAGAACCTTTGACTTTGACCGGGTATACCTATTCTAACGTTTTTTGACGTCCTCAATCCGTTTTTGGGGTCCGTTTCGCCAAATTCAAACCCGATAAGTTGGTTTTCACTGATTAATCAACCGATTCAATTCGTTTTTCAGAATTAAGCCCCGTTTTTGATGAAATGTTTATTTTTGTGTATTTGAGGAATTATTGAAAGTTAAATTAAAGATCGAGGGCATTCGAATGAAATTTTTATGGTCGATCAGTATGACACGAAAATCGATGTAATATTTTACTACCTCTTTATGCTTTATTGAACATGTGAATATTGGTAATTAATGAAGTTAATACTAATATTGAATGGTTAAAATTCGATTATGGTATGGTATCTAATATGGAAATTCAGATAATTCAACTACAAGTTATTCAACTAGTGATATTAGATTAAGTGATATGAGAAAACTCATTTGATATCTCATTTGAAAATACTCCGGTTTAAGTGATAAATTATGAAAATACCCTTATGTGGTAAAAAGACAAGAACTGATACTGAAAGCTGGATAAGAAGTTTGTAAAGAAATATTGATATGATGAAACTACTAATGTGTATGGAAAATACTAGTTTTGCTTAGGAAATCTGGATAACCGATTTTTATACCCAAGATGACTTGTACAAGATACTAGAAGTTGATAAGAAATAATTTAAAATTTAGAGATTATCCAGAAAAGCGATTAACCTTAAAATCTCTAAATTATAATTATATTTATTAAGAGTTTTAATACCGAAATTATATAGTTAAGAAATTACGAGATTACCCTTGAAAGGGAAAAATAGCCCGAATTGACCCTGAATGAAAAAGTACTCAGAAAGTCCTGCCTAAATCGATGAATTACTAGTTTCATCGTTAAGTTCACACGTTTATATAGAAAATTCATGATAAGCCGTAAATCTCCGAGTTATGAGTATATATCTGAAGAATAATCTAGTGAGGGAGCTCTTTTTTAGA